GATGCCAAGTGTTTTTAAATCTGCTGTGTTTGCTTTGTGAACTTCTGAATTAGCAATGCTCTCAACATGCAGATGTTGAGAGAGTCTGAGACTGCTACTTGTTCCTGCATACACATCTTAACAAGTCAACTATAGAATGATAGAAAATACAGTACCTCGCACACAGTCTCAGGAGCTTCAATAATGAAACTGGTAAAGCAAGCCTTTAGGATTATAACACATAATTCTACATTATATATGCATATTCAGCACATTTCCTTAAGTAGGTACAGAACAGCGAAGAAATGCCCTAAATTATTTTATCATGTACTAAACAGAAGCAAAAAAGCAAGGACAAATAAATGCATGAAAGTGTCTTACTGCTTTTACTGGTCAGGGGCCTATTCAGACACACTTGGATTTATGAAGTATCATGCTGCTCATACATAACAGTCTTCCCACACTCTCCATTATGACACCCAATATACTGTAAGGTGCAAATGTATTTAATTTCTTTCTGCTACCTCAGCAGAAATGCCATTAGCTATATCTGCCTTACTAACTCTGTTCATCGTAACAGGCATTTTATAAAAGACCATTAGTCTCCAAGAAGATGATGAACTAGTTAAAAATGTCCCACTTCAGCTCCGGAAGGATTTACCCCCTTCAGGACCAGGTCCTTCTTTGTTTTTTAGCACTGTGCTACTTTAACTGGTGAATGCAATGCTGTACCCAAATGAAATTTATATAATTTTTTTTTCACACAAATAGAGCTTTCTTTTTGTTGTGTTTGACCACCTGGGTTTTTATTATTATTATATAAAATGAAAAAAGACCAAAATGTAAAAAAATATATTTTTTACTTAAACTTATGCTATAAAACATGTCCAATAAAAAAAAATGTAAAATACAATTTCTTAATAACTTTAGACCACAATGTATTCTGCTATATGTCTTTGGTAAACAAAAATCTCAATAAGTGTGTATTTATTGTTTTGTAGGAAAGTTATAGCGTCTACAAACTATGGAATGAATGCTGGAATTTTTTTTTACACTACTAATGTTGGTGTTCAGCGACTTATAGTGGGACTGTGATAGTGCAGTGGACAATCTGACACTAATTACCACTGGGTGGGAACTGACTAACTGACATTGACATCACCTGACGCTAATACAGTGATTAGTAAAAATACTATACTGTACACTGTCCCTGACTAATAATATCCTGGGTGATAAAAGGGTTAAATGTGTGTCTTACAAGTTTTAATGTGTGTATTATGTACTGCTGCTTACTAAAAATCTTTTTGTTCCTTCTCCCCGCTTTGCATGTTTGTAGTTGTTCCTCATATTTGAAGTCCTCCAGCCCCCTCTATTGGCTTTGTTGCCCTTCTCTGGACTCGTTCCAATTCCAGCACATCCTTCTTAAAGACTGGTGGTCAGAACTGGACAGCATACTCAAGATTTGGCCGAACCAGAGTTTTGTAAAGTGATTGAATTATAGTCTATCTCTTGAGTACAATGCAATTACAATACATTTCAGTACAGATGGAATAGGATATTAAAACTAATTCTTCAAGTAGTTGCCCACCCCTTTATTTTATTGAGGTCTTCTCGTAAACTTGTTATAACCTGTTGTGAAGTTATTTACCCTGTTTAGCTTTGTATCATCAGGAAACACTGTGATATCAGAGAATTTGAGGCTCCTAGTGGCTGAGTGTGCTCAAAATCATCCAGAAGAGATGTTTTAGATAAATACAGTATATTTGAATGTGTCCTCACAGTAGCCTGATCCACTGCGCTGTTTAACAATTGGTTGGATTGGATGAGCGTTTGCCTGAGGATGTGTTGAGGTGAGGATTCCCTACCAATGTTAAAGTCTCCTCCAATGATTAGATGCCCTTTTTTTGGGAGGATATTAAGGTGCTAAGTCTCTTCAATATTGTAGTTGCTTGGAATTGGGTCCATATATGTTGACCAGTGTGTATAGTTTGTCATTAAAATTGCATATGAGGATGTGGTAGCGGCCTTGAAGGTCTGCAGTTTCGGATATGAATTAGAACTTGAGTGAGTTTCTTATAGCTGTGAGGACTCCATTTTCTTTTTAGTGTTTGATGCCATGAACAGTGAGGAAAATTGCTTTATTGTGAAATGTGGCGTTTTAGATGCGGCGAAGTGAGTTTCCTGGATGAAGAGGATGTCAGCTTGCAGTGAGCGAGCTTCTAAGGTGACTAAAGATCTTTTGTATGAAGAATTGAGGCCTCGAATATTGAGTGATGCTATTTTAATCATCCTGTGTATATTGGATTCGGGTGTGCTGCGGTCTTGAGATTTGGCGGTGATCGCTCTTGTCTAGGAAAGTGCATGATCCTGGAGGGATCAGTGTGATCATTTAGTAGTAGATGTTGTTGAAAGGATTGCCAGGTGAGTAGGAAAGATACTTGGGGTGGTGGAGAATGGTAAGGTGAGCTTGGGGAGCTCAGGAAGAAGGGGGAAAAAAAAAAAACCAGTGAAAAATACAAGTACCATCGGTTGCATTTAATGCTACTTTCAAACGGGGGTGGTTGAGCAAGCATGACTCAGGAAAGTTGTCATACTGGTAATGAACATAGGTTCTCATTATTTCTTGAAGAAGGCTGTGGTTCAGCTTTCAATGAAATAAGTGAACGTAGGCTAATTGTAGTGGGACCATTGATATTAGCGGGACTTCCGGTCCATTCCGCGTCCATCCACTGTGGGCGATTCGAGTTGGGCGGGTGGTCATCTGCGGGTAGGATGTTCCATTCTTTCAGCAGGTCAAGGCCTGCTTCTAGGTTTCTGACTGTGAATATTCTTCCTTGTCGTTTAATAGTGAGTTTTGCGGGAAATCCCCACTGGTATCCAATACCATTGTTTCTTAACGCTTTTGTTATGGATATTAGCTTCTTTCGGTTATATATATAATATCTGAGGTTTTAGGTAATTTTCTAACAAAACAATACTGATTTGAACTTGTAAACAAAAAGTGTCAGAAAATGTTTGGTCTTCAAGTGGTTTTTAGTGCTCGTTCACATATATGCAGATTGGATGCTGTTTGAACTGCATCCAATCCGCATAAAATGTGAAAAAACATTGCTTCGTATAGTGCCTGTTCACATATGTCCGGTGCAGATTCAGTGCGGTTTTAAAAAGAGTAATGTCCGATTTCTGAGCAGTCCAGTTCAGGTACATATTATAGGATATTGACTTCTGTGGGAACCATTTCCAAACCGCATATGTGTGAACAAAATATATCCTGAGCTAATCCTGTCCTGAGCCTGACATAAACCTGACGTGAACCTGTAAACAACTACTGTATCAATTACCAGTGAAACCTGAGCTTCAATCTGCACCGCACATGTGTGAATCAGCTTTTAATGTGTGTTGCATTAGACCATTAATTTTAATGCACTAAGTAACACATCCCTACAGGCAAAAAATCATGCATGCATCCTTTTTGGCAGCACAGAGCACAGCAATGCATGGTAGCTCAATGTAATAAGTTGCAGAGTGTTGCAACACAGGTACACTGGCACCACAATGCATTGCACATTAATATAGTGCACTGATGTGAATGGGCCATAACAGACTTTCAGGCAGCAGCTGTAGTAAAAAAAAAAAAAAAAAGTTAATAAGCTTGGCAGGCTCAGAAGCAAAAAAAAAAAAATTAACAGATTGGTTCACATAGCACATCAGGAAAAATGACTGGACATCCAGTATTTGTGAATTTCCCCAAATCTGATTTGTGTGAAGTGATTTGTTCATTTCCAATTACGAACTATGGAGCAGAAGTAAAATATTAGTTGAGCCATATAAGATACAACTTTTTTTTCAAGGAAGTTAATGACCCTATGACTATTGTAATTTGTTCTTTTCTGTACCAGTTCTTTGGAGCTTGTCTGTTACACTTTGGAATAGAACTAGAAGATCATCTGAAGTCAAACAACCCTGGAAAATGTTTCATGGTGCACTGGGGAATGACCCATCATTTTATATATTTACCTGTTTGAGAAAAAAGGGTTTAGAATACAGTGTTGTATAATTGCTTGATTATATGAATTCCAGTGTAGATGTACACACATAGAATCATAGAATGCTTTTCTCAAATGGAATATGGATATATGGATCAAGCATTTTAGAACATTCTTCATAATTAAATCATAATTTAATTCAATGGTGGGGAAAGACAGACTTCAGAGGCTAAGAAACACTGCAGCCCCCCCCCCCTTTCACATCTATATATATAATTATAGCTACTTTTGGCACCCCTTTATGATAAAGTGAAGTTTCAGTCAAAATAAAATAAAGTTATTTGTCATAAACTAAGTACCACACTTCTTTCCTGTGTAATTTGTAATCCAACAACCTTACCATAGGGTTAGAAGGTCACTCCTTGGAGAAATAATTAAATGATGCATAGGATAGTTTAAGCTGAGTCACCTGCTGAATTTTCTTAGCTTTTTGGAAATTTAGGTGCTGTTATCCACATTAGATGTTACTAGTCTACCAGTATAATTATTCCAATTCAATTTAGCTATATGGCAGGAAAGACTAGAGAAAAAAACATAAACTTTAAAATTCAGTTCTGAAAAAAGAAACAGAGGCCTATGAAAATGTGCCCAGAAAAGTGGGCATTGAATATTAACTGGGCAATACAGTTACAATAGTATCACATTTATTTGTATTATACCGCTATGGTATCACATCCACAGTACTATCTCCATGAAGATTGTAGCAAAGATCAGTATTTGATCTAGAGGTATCATTTTTACATTTTGACCACTAGCCTACCGGGCACTTATACCCCCTTCCTGCCCAGGCCAATTTCCAGCTTTCAGAGCTGTCACACTTTGAATGACAATTGCGCGGATATGCAACACTGTACCCATATGAAATTTTTATCATTTTTTTGTGACAGATAGAGCTTTATTTTGGTGATATTTTTTCTTAAACAAACCAAAAACCACAGAAAATTTTGGAAAAAAAATTTTTTTTCTTAGTTTTTGTTATAAAATTTTGTAAATAAGTGATTTTTCTCCTTCACTGATGTGCGCTAACGAGGCTGCAGTGATGGGCACTGATAGGCTGCACTGATGGACACTGATAGGTGGCACTGATGGGCACTGATGAGGAGGCACTGGTAGGTTGCACTGATGGGCATTGACAGGCATCACTGATGGGCACTGAAAGGCAGCACTGATACATGGCACTGATAGGCAGCACTGACTGACACTGATAGGTGGCACTGACTAGCACTGTTAGGCGGCACTGATTGGCACTGATGCACACTGATAGGCAGCACTGATGGACACTGATAGGTGGCACTGATGGGCACTGATGAGGAGGTATTGGTAGGTGGCACTGATGGGCATTGACAGGCATCACTTATGGGCACTGAAAGGCAGCACTCATATATGGCACTGATAGGTGGCACTGATAGGCAGCATTGACTGGCACTGATAGGCGGCACTGACAGGCGGCACTGATAGGCAGCACTGACAGGCACTGATAGGCGGCAATGATGCGCACTGATAGGCGACAATGACTGGCACTGATAGGCAGCACTGACTGGCACTGATAGGTGGCACTGATTGGTAGCACTGATATGTGGCACTGACTGGCATTGATAGGTGGCATTGACTGGCACTAATGAGTTACACTGAAAGGCATCTCAGATGGACACTGATATGTGTCATTGATGTGGCACTGGTGGGCACTGCAATGTGGCACTGATGTGGCATATATTATTATATGGCGGACAGGCGGGAGGCGGTTAAAGAAACTCTGTCACGGGAACGGGGGTGGTGGTGTTGCAAACTGCTGTAGGTATGAAGTACAGATCCTTTGTGAAGGCATGTGTGCTACATCTCTTGCAGAGTGCCCTGGGCCCCAGGTCTGCTACCACCCACTTTTTAAAACAAGTGTTTGTAGTTCTACAGTGCTACAGTGCCTCTGCCACTTGCTTTGCAGCGATCACTTCTGCCACCTTTCAGACCTCAGGTATAGGAAGCAGTTCACCAAGGGGAGGACTTCTTGTCACTTTGAACTGCCACTGTGCTCTCTACTGACCTGTTCTCTTGACCCCTGATTTTATGTATTATTTACTTCTGATCCCTGCACTTTCTGCAATATTCACTTCTGACCCCTGCACTCTATACAATACCCATCCTGACCCCATAATTCTGTGCATTATGCACGCCAGACCTCTGCATTGTGTGAATTATGCCCTCCTGACCCTGGACTGTGTAATATAAACTCCCAAGTTTGCACTCTTTGAGGTATGCACTCCTGAACTTTGCACTCGTATACTATACACCATGTAGGGCATTTCATACTCCTGACCACTGCACTCTGGAAACTAAGCTGTATAGAACATACTTCTAACCACTGCACTCTAAGTACATGATATATTCCTGACCCCTGCACTCTTTATACTATATTGTACACCAGTTGCATGTTAATAAAGTTCTTCAAGGTAGGCAGTGACCAGAAAAGCACATGTAATTAAACAGTTTTGTGTTTGTTATCAAATGATTGTGCAGGGAAAAAAAGCCCAGGACCAGTGGGTTTCTAGAGGAGTTTTTTAGTTGTAAAAACGCTCTAATGCTGAAAAAAATACGGCAAAATGCGGTAAACTGCCGCAAGCTGGCGTTTTTGGACCAAAAAAATAGTTTTTTTTGTCAAAAAAAGCTAAAAACCTCAGATGCGGAAAAACATGGGAAAATGCCACTAATTGAGGCAAAATGCAACTAAATGCTAAAGCAAAAAAGCTAATGCAAAAACGCTAAAAAACCTGAAAAACTCACGTTTTTAACGTGACTTTACACAGCAAATGTTACCAGCGCAGGGGCGGACTGACCATTTGGAAACTCGGGCACTGCCCAAGGGCCCGGGATCAGTAGGGGGTCCCATGAGATGCCCCTGGTACCTTTTTCATAGGCTTTTTTGAGTTTGGGCAAGGACACAGGGGTCCCATGATCCCCTATTGCCCGGGGGCCCCATGAGTTGTCAGTCCGCCCCCTGTACCAGCGTTATCAAAACGCCAGTGTGCATGAGGACTAATACTGCTGATTGAAAGAAATCTCAATGTGTGTACCAGGTTTTATGTATACTGTGTTATACAGCTAGTTCCATTGTTGTACTTTGTATGGTTTATCAGGAACTAGTTTGCCACCTGATTAATTTAGCTTTACTTTTTTTTTTTTTTGAGCATGGTGACACCTCAACAGTGACAGAATCACTGAAAGTCACCTGCAACCTTCCCTATGATTCTAATGATCAGCCATTCTTTTTCCTCAAAAGCAGTACATGCATGGTTAGCACATGAAAGCATATTTATGGTCAAAGTTTAAAATAATATATTTATTTACACAGTGGGGTTGATTTACTAAATCTGGAGAGTGCAAAATCTGGTTCAGCTGTGCATGGTAGCCAGTCAGCTGCTAACTTCAGCTTGTTCAATTAAGCTTTGACAAGTAAGTATTAAGTGTCCAGTTAGTTTGGTACTGCAGAAATTTTAAAACAATGGAATAATGTACATAAACATTAGAAATTAGAAATGATCTGTGCATTTTTTTTAGAGTTAGTGGTTATAAAAACATTGAAGATATTGGACTAACATAGCAGCCAGGCAATTAATATTTTTGGAAGGTGAGGATGGCAATAACATGCAACATGTTTTTCTCAGCACAGGTTTTCTTTAAAGGAAAAACTGTGTCCGGTGTACACTGCAACAAAATGTTCAGCACCCAAACTGTCATACCAAAATCTGCTGCTCCCTCAACCATTGTAGCTTCTAAGCACAAACTTAAAAGGAGTCCAACATCAATAAAGAAAAGTGCTTGACCAGGAAGCAATAGTTACATAAAATAACATATTCACTGAGTCCACGAGTCTCTAAATTGCAAAGAACAGTAAGGAGAGTTACTGGCTCCATGCAGCTTTTCGCAAAGCTATCAGAAAAATAAACATAAAAAAGCCCAAACCACTGATGTTCCATTGCTGATTGCCTGGGAAGGGCAGAATCAACTTAAAAAGTAATGATTTTAGCAGGGTCCCTTTGTAGTGAAGAACAGAATATCACTGCAATTTCTCAGCCTTTCAAATCAACATTTGCAGAGGTACAACTTTAGCTACATAGAGGATGCATTTATTACAGGTATTTATTTAGTGTCAACATTCACATCAGTCTCTGCCCTCAAGGAACTTAAAATCTAAGGTCTCTATCTCACATGCAGACTAGGGCTGATTTAGACAGGACCAATTAACCTATCAGCTTATCTTTAGAAGAGCTGGAGGAAACCCACACAAGCGCAGGGAGAACATGCACAATGTATGCAGGTAGTGTTGTTGCTGCGATTTGAACTGATGACTCTAGTGCTAAAAGGCGGACATGTTAACCAGTAAGCCACTGTGTTCCCATATTGACTGGTTGATGTGAACTAAAAAGGAAGCTGTACGGCACATACACTGTACTCTATGTTCTTGCTACATAGGGACGTTACAGAGGCATATTAAGCAAGTACATATGTAATTATAAACAGTAGACAGAAATCTTTTGAAATATATAAAAAGATGTATAGTTTTATATTAAAAGATTTGTTACGTTGTTAAAGTGATTCTAATGCCTGAAGGTTTTTAACCTCCATACATCTGCTTAAAGTAAAAAAAACCTTCAGTGTACTGCTTTCCACCCAGCCCGCCCACCCCTTTTATACTTACCTGATCCTGATCACGATCCAGCAAATCCAGTGCAAAGAGCAGCGCCTCTCTCTGTTATCTCTACTCATTGACAGAGGGGCAGCAGTGGGAGCCATTGGCTCCTGCTGTTGTCATATATAGCCAGTGAGGAAATAGGGGGGGCTGGCCAGAGCCATGATCTGTGTGTCAATGGACACACAGAGCCAGCTTGGGACCAAGCATGCACAAGTGACCCCATAGCAATCGGCTTGCTATGGGGGCCCTCAGCAGAGGGGAGGAGCTGACAGCACCAGCATGGGACCTAAAAAGAGGAGGATCAGGGCTGCTCTGCGCAAAACCACTACACAGGTCAGGTAACTATAACTTGTTTGTTATACAAAATAAATTAAACACAAAGCTTAAATATCACTACAAGCTTTGTACATTTTTTAGCAAAACTGTGATACGAAGGGGAATCTTGTAATAATACAGGGAATCTTGTCTTAAATTGCAGACACTTACAAAGCTTATGCCGTAATTTAGATATCAATAGCACATTGTAATCTGTTACTGAAAATTAAGAATGAATTTGGATCAGGATCCTTTTTGCAAAAGAGTTCCACCCACATTTATATCAGTTTCGGTCTACTTTAAAGGAGAAGTCTCACTTCAGTTTTTATGAATGTGTTTTGTTCCCCAGGGCACACAACACATGTAGTACTTTGTCCCATCTTCCTATCCGCTGTCTAAGGCAATACATGGATACGTTTTTTTGATCAGCCAGCAGGCTGATCAAAAAAAATGACTGAATGGATTCTCCCATCCATACAAGCCAGCTATGTTATTGTATTCCAAATATTGCACACATTTTTTCCAACAAGCCTGTTCATGAGAAGTTGACTATTAGATTGGCTTCTCACAAATGGGAACTGCCAATCCCTGCTGAACCGGTTGAATTTTAACCCATGTATGGCCAGCATAAGGCTAGCTGTGGGATCAGACAGGCTATCCCTCCTTCCTTTATGGCCTTCCAGCAATGCAGCTAGCAAAGAGACAGCTTCTTGGACAAAGAATCAAGTCTCAGTCTCCAAGCACTTGTTTGGAACATTTTAGCTCGAAACTGGTAAACAGACAAGAGGTAAGCCATTATGGTTTTGTTATTGCCGACTTTGGCCACTGTAGGGAGATTTCCCCTTGCTTTTTGTCCTGATGACAGCATTATCATTGGGAGAGGATACGTGGGGAAATCCTTCTAACAAGGACACAGCAGCAATAAAATACACCTTCTGTCCCTCTTGGAGATTTCCCCTTACTTTCTGCCTTGGTGAAAATGTGACAGGTCACAGATAACAATAAAAACTGAGGTCCTTAATTTTTCCCACTCATACAAAATAAAAATGTTTTGATTTGCATAACACTTAAATTTTACTCTAGATTGTAATAGGTCTGGAACTGCATGCCTAGCATAAGTGGAGGGCCTGCATGACTGAGTTTGCTGTGCAGGCTACAGTTAGGCAAGGATAGGAGCATGGTGGATGATACAGCCAATGCGACAAATGTTCATTCACTAATCCAAGACTCATAAAAAGTCAGCTAAGTACATTATGGTACATTATGGTTGTAAGGTTATTTTTTTGTAAAATCATGGTTGTTAACCACTTACTCTCCACCCTCTAATAGAACTACTGCTACAGTGTGGCAGGGCTGCACAAAATCATGTATATATACGTGATTTGCATTTCAGGGTAGGGGGCACGAACGTGTGTGTGCACTGGCCTACCCATGCCACCATTGGCGGCTAGGGATATCAATCTCCAAGTCCCGGCCGGCACTTGGCGATCGTTAGGTAAAACTGACAGGGAAGAGACTTGTGTGTAAAAAACACAGGTCTCTCTCCTTTCAGCAAGGACATGCTGCTTTG